GCCAGAGTCTGAGCTTCGGCTAAAGACAAATGCAGTCTGGAACAGATTCCTTCCATATGTTTGCACCAGGCTAATCTTGGCCGTTCCCTGGGCCTTTTGCCGGTCGGATTTGCAACGAACAGTTGCTTAGCGTTCCTTTCTGGAGGCGTTCGCAACACATCCCAAGCCATCCAGCTGTGACTTCTCAATCTGGAGAGGCAAAGATTTATATCAATGCACTTCCGGATGTCACAATTCCGGACCATGTCGAGACGCGTAAGGCCAGCGACTCATCTAAGAAAGCCCATTTCAGCAGCTTGTAGCCGGGTTCGAAGTTTTTCACTGATGGTCCACGATTCATCACCGTAGGTAAGTATGGCGATGAAGATCGACTCTTCAAATTCAGCTCTTCTAAAGTCACAACAGATCGGGCCAGCTCAAGCAGGACGTTATTGTTTACTCCGAATTTTCCATCACTGCTGAATAAGATTTTGAGGTACTTCAACTTTTCTACCTGCTCCAGTTCACTGGTCTTATTTTCGCAGCCTCTGCGGCTTAAAAGACAGGTGTTTGCCCAAGCATGCCTTGTTCGTCTAATGCTTTGAGCATTTCAAGGCGGATTTCATCGACTGCCGCGTCGTTGCCAGTTTTCAAGCTTTTTACAGCTTCGATGATTCATCTACTGATAGACAAATATCTCTTGACTGCTGCTGTTCAGCCAAGCCTTCTTGCGGTTGCTCGAAGTCAAGGAGTTCCTCAGTATTTTCTCCATCGCCAAAGTGTATCATGTTCCGGACTTGCGCGTCGTGACTTTGAGATTGCCTTCTTTCCATTTTCAGTAGTGGCCTATGATCTGCTGGAATGCCTTGTTTACTGTCTAAAAATTGACTAACTACCTTACCGGACTTTTCCTCAGAATGAGCTTTCCATTTGGCTTTCCATTACATTCACTGCAGCTGTGAGCGCTTCCCAATGCTGCATTTGAACTGAAAGCTCTTTGCGTTCAAGCCACCTCTTGAGTGCAGGTGTTTTTCTTTGACAGCCAGATGAATCTTTTGTGTCCAGCAGTGAGTTCGTTTCTGACCTCCGGTCTTCTTAGAGAGCTGCCATTCGGTCGTGCGATGTTGTTTACAAGTTTCGCTCTCGTATCCACAAAAAATGGTATGTCTAATTTGTCTAATCTGCACTTCAAATAGAGCACCGTCTAATTCCTCTAATAAGAAGTCAAGTTCTTCCTCCAGATCTGGTGCATAGACCTGCAACAATATCAAAGCTTTAGCCCACTGTAATTTCGGGAGGATGATTGACAATCTTCCGCTGGCAGACTTCCAATCAATGATTCTGTCAGTCAGGTTGTGTTCTATCAGAACACCAACACCGGTTTGAGCGCAGGTCGTGGAGTCGATGCCTTCCATTCGCAGTGGTTCAGAATTCCTTGTTCCTGACATTTCATTGCCGAGAGTCAAACTATATAATGTC